GGCTCAAAACCCTACAATCTGCTATGGGGCTTCAGGATACCCTAGGATGCCGGATGCTGAACTCGGAGCAGCGCAGGACTGGCAAACTTCCCCGGACCGTGCATCCTTTACGAAACACCCGCAAACCTGAAGCAAATCTGCCGAAAGACCCGAAAGTCGTGACTAGGGTTGGGGTTCGAATGGACATATGCTGCGCACATCTCCACGCATGAACTGTGCTGTAGTGCACGCATAGAGGTTATAAACCCACATGGCTGCCCAAGCCAGCCACCCAGTTCGTGACGGTGCCTGATGAATCAGGCAGCTTTTGGTAAGGTTCAACTTTCCCAAAGGCTCCATGTACCCTTATAGTAGATACTTAAGCCCCAAAGTAGTCCCTATATCGGTACTTTAAGGCCTAAGTATCTACTATAAGGGTACATGGAGCCTTAGGGTTTGGAAGCCTCAAGCAGCCCGAACCTGAACGTGTCTTAGTTCGTACGTTTAGCATCTATAAGCTCTACTCTGACCGAAACCTTTTGAGGGCTCAGGATCTGTAAAGCCTTCAGCCCAGCGCCAAAGCCTGGACACCCTGAAGCCCAAATCCTAGGCTTCATGGTATAGCTCTAGGTTCCCCTGTAGCCCCCAACAATCAGGCCGGCTTTGTCCGTCTCTTATTGTTCCGTTTGTTCCATTTCAGAAGGAATGTGCATGCATAAAAGTTAGACGAGGCACTACTGGCATAACCGAGACTATGCACGAGTTGCAACCCTGACTCACTTTTTGGGGTCCTCGGGCTCGTCACTGTACATCCTGATTGCTCAGGTCTGCAGGTGCATCCATAGGGTTAAGGGCTTCAGGTCTAGAATAGGGCTTTCTTAGGGCTTCAGGTTCCGCGCCCGTGCCGAGAAGCAGAGACTAAACCCCTATCAGCCCTAAACTCGCGTGACTCCGCTGCGCACCCTATTCCCAGAGGCCCCAAAGTAGTTCCTTGTTGGGGTTCATATATAGAATCCTATAAGGAACGGTAATCCCAAAAAGGACCTACTATGGGGCCTCTGGGTAAAACAGGAAGCCGAAGATCCTAAAAGCGAATCTCAGAACCTTGCGCCCGAGTCCATAACTCCACCTGAACTCCTAGACCGTAAGCATTCTACATAGGGTTTTCAGGTTTTAGATACACCGTAAGTACCCAGAGGCCCCCAAAAAGCTTCTTTTTGGGATTACCTTATAGGATTCTATATACGAACCCCCCAAAGGAACTACTTTGGGGCCTTTGGGTCTACACCCAAGGAAGAGAGAGGAGAGGCTTCTGCAGAACAGCTGGCACGAGCAAGACAGAAAGTCTAGACGTTTCATGCCGAGAACCTAATTGAACCCTAAGATCATACTAGGGGTTCCTTTAAGGAGTTTAGGGGTTCCTTTAAGGGGTTCCTTTAAAGGTTTAGGGTTCGGTGTGTAGGCCGGTGTAGGATTTAGGGCTCCTTTAATCTTAGTTGCTGAGTTCATAAGCCCCCCAAAAGTGTACACTGTGGGTTTTATATATTGGGTAGTATTATCCAAGAAACTGTAAACTCAGCTACTAAGTACTGGCACGGAGATTCAGCAGCATGTGCGAATGGCTCATCTCCTTGGGGCACTTTAGGGTGAGTTCCCTGGATCTATGAAGACGGGGATCCAGACGCCGAGGCAGTGGACTGGGCCGAGGCTTCAGGAGGTGAATATAAGGGCCTTTATAATTAGAATGGGGTTTTGGGGCCATTATACTATAATTACAATAAGGAACCACCAAAATAGTGTTGGTTATTGTTCAGGCGCCTGCCTATATTAGGATACCCAGACCTTTTACAGAATCCAATTGTTGGACAGGGCCTGGTAGCGGCACCCACCTTTCGAATTGCTTACAGGTGTGGACATAAGGCTCAGTGTCTGGGATGTAGTTCCGGATTTCAGATTTAAAGTACGCGGGCTCCCTGCAGGTGAGACTGGTGAAACTCGCCAGCTTCTGTCAAAGGCACAAGGTGGCGCGACGTCGAGAACAAGATTGCTGCGGAAACTTGGAAGGCTTAATTACCACCGTGGGAACAACGATTGCAACTGTAGATGGCAAAAGACATGGGGTTAAGTCAAAACCAGAGCCCCCCTCCATGATCCTTCTTACCCGGGGGATAGCCCCAAGACCTGCACCTACACTCCAAACTCGGCCACTTAGAGCTATAAGCCCTGAGCCCAAAAGCCTGCACGGAAGGATGTCTTGTGACTTGATCCCTAAACCTTTTCTAAACCCTAAACCTTACACGCGCCGTCAGCGCCAGAACGGCTTCAATCGGCCTGGACGTGCGGGCTCAAGCAGTTTTGCTCACCTTCCCTCTCTGGTCTCCAGCAGTGTATTTTTTCTGTCCGTTGCAGTCTTTGTATAATCAGAATAATCACTTGTAGTGTAGTATATACTGTCAAACCATGTTGATAAGTATGCCAGTGCAGGTACGCGAATCCGGTGGTATATACAGCTTTTACATACCGCTGGTAACGAAGTGAAGAAGTTGTTTTGACCTCCACTCGGCTTTCGCCTGCACCACCTCAACACTCTATTCTACTATGGTCATGACGATCATGATTATTACGATTATTCTTAGCATTACTCTTGTTGCTATTATCATTGCTGTTCTGCGCATTGTGCTGTTCTTGTTGCTGCTATCACAGTATTGCTATTCATACTTGGGGCACTATAAAACACTCTGAACGAACTCTTGTAACACAAAACCAAGAACCTCAGCTTAAAACACCAATGCTGACTGCTGTTTAGCTTTCTCCAAACGTTTCAAGACTCCAATATCCCTGAATTAATGAACTTACCCTAGATTCGAGTAGGATCCCTAATATGATTTAACTAGGCTGTTCAGTAACCCACTGGGAAAAGTATATACTTTTTTAGGCTTCTCATTTTATAATAGGAAACCAGAAACCTGAAAGTAAAAAAGTGTACCACTGAACAGCCTGGTTAAGGTATATAACTCGCAGAAGCTCGAATCCCAGAAAATCCTTCAGGCGCTGCATCTGCCGGGCGCAACCGGGACTCGTGAACATCCCGCTTTTTGGGGTGGAAAAGGAAGTATAACATAAACCCGGCGTATATGACTACTAAAAACAAGTCCGTCAGAAAAGAGCCCCTAATTTCAAGAAGCAGCCATATATAAACACGATGCAGATAGGATCCTCACTAAACAAAGTCCATGTCAAAAAGGACCCCTAGTTTGAAGAAATAGCAACCTCAAAAGATATACCTGAGCAATCTGAAACGCGAACGACTTCCAAGAACCCCAGCCCTAATCGCTGATAAAGTCTTACCTGGTTTTGCTGGGCTTGCAGGGCCTGTCTTCAACTTAAGAACCTTACCAAGCTGGTGCCTGCGTCGCTCCCTGCGCGCTCCTGAGAGGGTGTTCGAGGGATGGGTTTGAGGGATTTGGGTGGGTTAAGCACCAACATCGTTATCTAAATTCTCCGTTGCCAGAACTGTCAGCATGCAGTGCAGTTGATGATGTTAATCATTGTGCTGGTCGTCGCTTCTCTCAAACTGGTGTTAGCATCAGAAGAGACTATTACTACAGTATATCGTAAGTCGGAGCGAGTACTTCCAGCAAGGCGAACGCGGGCAAACTCGCCAAAGGAAGGATGATCCTCACTTTAGAGTATAAAGCTTCGGCGGTTAAGGCTCCAGGATTTGCCGAACACATGCAGGGCGGATATAGAACGGGTCTGCCCCTCAAACCTCGAATCGAAACCAGGAGACCAGCTGGTGCTTCAATTCAGCACTCAATACCTCCTGCAGATGGACAAGAAAGCCTGCCTTACCCATAGGTCAGTCAGATCCCCTAACTGGTGGCCTCTGTGGCCTATCTCTTGTGAGAAGTATGGGCGATAGCAGCTATGACTAGAAACGGATATTGGCCCACTCAGCGCCGCACTTCTGGTGCTGATCTCGCGGACTCCGCTCCAGCTCCCTGGAAAGAGCTTTCCTGGCAAGGAGCTTGTGGTTCCAGCGGGCCTTAGAGTCCAGCTTTAAGTAGGGCTTGTAATCTCCTTCCCCATAAAAGAGCACGGGCTTTATAACATCAGGGGTCTACAGTATGCGAGACTTAAGATGGCTGCTACGACGGTATACACCCCATAGCTTTCCCGCAGAGGTTCGGAAGTTGATAGCGTGGACGTCGAGCCATGGAATGATGCAAAGAATGCGGGTTTTGTTAGGGATTGGGGCTTACACCCCAGGCTCAAACCTTACGCTGAAGTAGAGTGCCGATCGGTAGCTTACGAAAGATGGCCAGGCTCTTCCATGTGAGAGACTCAACAGCTGCTTTCACGGGCCCCAGAAACAGTGCAGCATGCCATGCAGCAGGACTGAAGTATCGAAGCTTGCTTTGTGGGGTCTCGTGCCGAAAGGAAAGTTTCAGGGTTGGGCAATGCCCAAGGAATCAGGAGACGTGTTTTTTTCGCACCACACAGTTCTTTCCGATCCTACGCCTCAGCCAGCTCACGATTCGTAGCCCTCTGTACAAGGCAGTGGTGGCCGTGGATCGACCGCTGCACTGGCCGACTGTCAGCTATGCTAGGACCCCCGCTGTAATATTTGGGCCTTCGCAGTTAGAATATATAATTCTAGCAAGGAAATCCCCAAAATAGTATTAAGACCTCTAAATTTAAGCTCAACAAACAAAGAGACCCCATCCCTGAATTGATGTTGCAAACTTTATTTCGCAAATCACACGCCGAAACCCAAAGATGTACTGGGAGACCTAGTACAGCGAATACGGATGGCTCCAATTCAGAACCTCAGCACATAGGCAAGTTTGCAAAGTAGAAGCTGGCTATGGGTGTACACGTATACGTTGACAACCAGCCGGAAATGCCAACAAACAAAACTGTGCTGCTGCCACCTGCGCTGGCGTTCGACTGCAAACGTCCCAACTTTGGACAGAACCACTTTCTCTAAAGGTGCCATAGGCTTTCTGGACAATCCGGCTTCAAACTACAGGAAAAGCGTCGAAGCCTTCGACCTCCGAGGTAGGAGGTTGAAACTGGACTTTAGCGGAAATGTCAAGCATGTCCTTAGCCGACCCGTCCACGGATCCAATAAGCTTAAGGTCCAAGGTTCAAGGCTTCACGTGTAAGCTGGCTTAACTCTTAAGGCCTTCCTGGGTCAGTTTTTAGATGCTTTGAGGGTGTAGGGTTGGGGATTAAGGAGGCTTGCGTGATCCTCGAAAGATTAAGGAAGTCAGGTGCCAAGTGTCCTTGACCTTCAACTCCTGCTTCATGAAGTCAAAGGAGCTGTCAGCAAGTCGTGCGTTGCCGGAGCAAGCACTGTAAAGCTTTTCCAGGTCATCGATCGCATTGATAACATCCTCTGTGCTTGGCACGCCCCCCTTCACCACGTTGTAGACTACCACCGTGATAGTCACGTGCTCGGAGTCATGGCGTTGCGGCGCCTCAGTTCCCCGGCATCTGCTTCATGCTAAGGGTACCCTTTCTCCCCTAGTTCTAAAGTTCGTTACACAGCTTTTTATAAGTATAATTACGGACCAAAAAAACAAAAGAAAAAGTTTTATAAGTAGAGTTACGGATCGGAAAAGAAAAAAAGGAAGGGGGTAGTAGTAAGTACACACAGACCCAGGATCCTTGACGGACAGCCCGGGCCAGACATCGACCTCTGAGCCACGGGAGACCCGGGCGGCACTGCTTCGACCGGTCCTCCCTCTGCTCCTGCTTCGATCTCCTGGGCTCTTCTTAAGGGAATCAATTTAAGTTGCCATAGTTCTTGTTAAGGGGTTTAGTTTAAGTTACCATAATTCTTGCTAAGGGGTTTAGTTTAAGTTAACATAAGTCTTGTTAAGGGATTTAGTTTCAGTTACCATAACAAGGATACCGTAATTATTTACTATAGATCCTATTATGGTAACGTAAACAAAGCTCCTTGACAAGAACCCAGTCTCTGTCCCTGCAGCGACCGCGGTCGTCCCAGCCCATGCTTCTCAGGCATCCCTTCCCGAATGCAGAGGTGTCCTCTTGTGCGTAGCAGCTGGTGGTCGTCACTATCATTTCCCCTCCTGGGCCGTAGGTGACCGTGCTCTTGCTGCCAAGGTCCATCATGTACTTAGCTGCCAAGAACCTCGATGCCGAAGACCTCGAGATGGCCCTACCATTCAACATACTGTTGATGGACGAAATCCTGCATGACCCTAAGGACTCTAAACTATGGGAACCATGGTATATTCCTTATAAAGAGTAATGCAGGATTTTGTCCATCAACAGTAGTACGTGATTGTCGAACAAGTAACTCATCATCCTGTAAGTGTCAAGTTCATGCATTTGCAGGAAAGGTGTCTCAACGAAGGTTCTGAACCTGAAGCACGCCATCAGCACCTTGCCTCTGGTGGACAAAAACCGGCATCTCATAGCATTCCCGACGTGTCTAGGGGGTCTCCACAATCAAGATCCTTGTATTGAGGGTCGATACTATAACATCCTAAACCCTATATACCCTAAACCTGGCTTTCTGAAAACTCCCGATCGGACGAAGGCACGCACGCTGCTTCAAGGGAACCTCCGCCGAGCGGAGCAGGCTTGGGTTTAGGGTTTCTAGGGTTTAGGGCTCCAGGATGTTTGCTGCATATACAGATTTGGGAGTTTTCCGAACATAGGGAACCCTAATCTAGTACCCTAAGTGGTAATAAGGTACCCCTAATTTTCGGAAACTCCCATTTCAATCGTTGAGCACTTCGGGTTTATGGCTGCTTTTGGGCTCGTGGCGATGGTTTGCACAGACTCGGGGGTCATGGCGCTGTCAAACTAAGGATCGGGATCAACATGTCTGATGGGGTCAGTGAATTCTCTGCAGGCACTTGACCTTGGTCAAGCGAGAGAAAGAGAAGCAGGGAGCAGAGAAAAACAACAACGCCAATTAAACAGAGACAAGATTCGCGCGCCTATTTCCAAAGACTCTGACCCCAAACCCTAAACAGTCCTAAACCCCAAGCCCCAAACCGGAAATCCTAGACCCTGAACCCCTGACCCTATGTATTATAGGATCGCTGAAGCTGAAACTGAAAAAGCGGGATAGCATCCAACCGTTTAAGGTTTCTGGTTGAGGGTATCAGGTACTAGCCCTGAAGCCAAGAGAACTCATATGCTAAGGCTTTTGGGTCCAGAAGCCCCGCAGGGTTCGGGGGTATATTATACTACTATTACAGTATGATAAGGAGCCCCAAAAATATTACTGGTAATCATCTAGGCCCCTAAGTAGAGTCTTTCGGGGTGATTAAGAAACCTTGGGCCTTTATTAGGGTTTCCTATATGAATCCTACTGTTTTGGGGTTTTGAGGCCCCGGGTTTCTTAATTAGCAAGCAGGAGACCCTGAGAGCCTTGAGCCTAAGTTGGAAGGATACGACAAGTATCACCTTTCACTTAGAGCGACAACCAAACACCGGCCTCCCTGAAACTGCAAGGAAAAACACCCAAGTATTAGGGGCTTGTATGCTGCCGATAGAATGCAACTACAGTTCCAGGCTTTATCGCAAGAGTGTTCGAGGGTCCACCTAAATTCCACCGGGGCCCCAAACCCACCTTTCCCAGCTGCAGGTTCAGGGCTTCTAGCGGATGGGGGCTTAGGGTTTCTGATCATGGGGAGCCTTAGCGGTGTACGGGGGAGGGGGGGGGGGGAAGGGGACTGTACTTCCTTATAAGCCTTATCCGGTCCTTAGTATGGGCATTATTAGCCTAAGGGTCCCTATGAGCATACCTTAAATCATATCAGGGATCCTATCATAATTTAAGGTATATTCCTTAATTAAGGGATATTGGAGTCTCTGGGCCTGGATGGTCATCAGCACGTTGAAGCGCTTGCCCATGGCCTTGATACCGATCACGCTGGAAGTGGCTTTGCCTGCAGACCATCATGGGAGCTTCCGAAAACAGGGGACCCTCATAAAGTATCCTAAATACCAGGATCCTTATTATAAGGACCCCTAAGATAAGGTATCCCTAATTTCCGGAAACTCCCACATGACGATGAATTGGGCCACAGGCGACCATGACCGACTTTCTTATGCTGTGAACAAAAGCCGTCTAAACCCCAATTCAACAAAACCGAGGGATCCTGCAATTAGTCCGGAAAGGCGTGCTACCACTATGGGCTCTTAGACCTTATGGGTACCTTAATCTACCCTTAATAGGGTCCTAATAGGGATCTTTAGGGTATACTAGCCCATAGTGGTACAGGAACCTGTACACCGATGAACCTCGAGACGACAGAACCGTTGCAGCTGATCTGTCGCTCGCTTGAATCTTCACACTAAACCCTAAGACCCGTATGGGAGTTTCCAAAAATAGGGGACCCTAATATAGTACCCAAAATAGTAGGATCCTTAATATAAGGACCCCAAAACAAAGTACCCCTAGTTTCCGGAAACTCCCATATTTACAGGACTCAAGTCTAGCCAGTGTACGACCTGAACCTCGACCGTGAGCCCGGCAGCCGCCACCCTCTGCACTCCGAGCTCTGGCGCGAAAAGGTCCGAACCGTGGGTTTAGGGTTTAGGGTTTAGGGGAAGTGCATTCCAAACACGGAAGTTGCTTTCATAAACCCCGTTTCTTCAACGGCCATGATATTGGGATCCCTATTCCATTCCCTATATCATTGGAGAGACGGGGCTTATGAATCAAGACCTATCAAAAATCCTGAAGCTCAGCCCTTTCCTGAATCCTAAACCCTCTGGCCGTGATCTCGTCGGCCGTAAACCTACACTTTGCATCAGGACGTGCGCAACCTGAACCCTAAACCCGAAACCGACCCTAAACTCCGCAAACCCCAACCCTGAAACCGTAAACCTTCAACAACCCCCTCACACCTTGCTGGGTTTGTGAACCCCGAAATCCCTTCAACCTTTGCGGAAGGGTTCAGGTTTTCTGAGTTGTCCTTAAAGCCCTTTGAAAATGATTTACAATTATGGTTCTCTACAAAATAGTAGAGGAGTTTAAAAAAGATCCCAAAGGACAACCAAGCTAGATACATTGAAGGCCTCAGAAGGTGGGATGAAGGTAGGTAGGTAGGTAGCTATGTACGGCTTCTAGGGTTTAGGTTTTATAAGGTATAGGGTTTAGGGTTCCAAAGGGCAACCCAGTTTTAGGTTAAGGGTTGGTGGCCGGCAGACCTGAGGATTCCCCTACACAAGGGCTCCGTTTTAGGACTTCCGCCGCCCCTCTACCTGAAACCCTAAACCCTAAACCGCAAAACCCCTAAAACCCTGAGACCCTAAACTCTAGACCGCTAGAGATTTAAGGCTTTAAGGGCTTAGTTTAGGATCCCACCCCCTACCTTCATCTCACCTTCGGAGCCCCTTGAAACTCTAGGCCTCTGCGGAGTGCGTCAGCTCGCTCCTCGGCGGTCTCCTCCGGCAGTTTTTTGGCACAGGATCAGGGTCCGAGGTGAGGTTTAGGTTTCAGAGAATTTAAGGGTTCAGTTTTTTTTAAAGTTGGGTTGACTTGTACATCTGCCCGCAGTCGGCCCTCAACTACATCCACGTAGAACCTCCACCATCTCCACAGCAGCACCAGACACCCCATTCTTCATCTCCCTCAACTTTTTTCTTCAGCGCCAACAGAGGTATAGTAGACACCGACAGCAACGTAGTGGTAGGAGTAGTCGGTTCAGGGTTTAGGGCTTGGGGTCTATAGGCTTCAAATAAATGAAGGTGTTTTTTAAAGATGCAGTGGCCTTTCTCCCGCATGAGCAAGGTCTGGGCCTGCCCCATTCCGGGCTTCCACCAAAACATAAAAACCTCTCATCACTGTTTCGAGAAAGGAAGCCCTTGTATGAAGGGCTTAGGGTTTAGGGATTAGGCTTCAGAGACTATAATAAGGGTTTGAGACTGAAAAATTATGTCCTTCAATCGGCAGGCCTTTGGCGGTTTGGGGGTTATGTTCTCAGAGTCCCGGTTCCCCTACCCGCAAGTCGTTTACGGCCAGCCTTCGAAAGAAACCATTAACCCTAAGCCGCGGCCTCCCTGTCTCATACTCGAAGGCCGAGGCTATACGTATCTTATCCCCAAGGAATAGAACCGTGTTTGACCGTAGATTATCCATAACTGCATACAGACTATTAGCGGGATACCATGATGCAAAAGTTCATTGCGTGCAAAGAAGCCCTGGACCCGAACTCAACCTTTGTATAACCCTGAACCCTTTAAATAAACAAACCCTTAACCCTAGAATGCAGGTGTCCAACCCTCGGACGCGGTCCTCCTGCGGCCCGCCGACGCTGTGGCGGCTCTCTTCCGCCTTGCTGCCGTAACGAAACGTCCGAGAGTCTCCAGGAACCGAACCCTCAATCTGCGAATATTCCTAGACTTCGGAGATCTATGAATGCAGCGAGTGTATGCTTACCCTAAACCCTAAACCCTCTGTGACGAATCTGTAATTAGAGGATCCTCGAGTGTTCGGGCCTGTCGGGTGTGGGATTCAGGGGTCGCTATGATAAAGTTCTCGTTTCATCGCCTCCTTTCCACCCGAGAGTACGGTTGATGATATAAATCCTGCATTACCAATAATAAGGAATATACCATAATTCCCATAGTTTGGGGTCCATAAGGTAATGCAGGATTTATATCATCAACAGTAGGACGCCACGTTTGCTGAGGCAGTGGGCAAGGGACAACACGATAGGGGTCTTTGTTGATCCTCACACTCGGACGAATCCAGGCAAAGTCTGCACACAAACGTCGCACTAAAGGTTTAGGTTTTAGGGTTTCCGGGACAAGATGCCGTAGAGCCCTGCATCCCGACCCCGAACCCGACACCCTAAGCAAATATCCGTGTGCATGCGGACTCTCTCTGCAGGGTGTACTGTTTTGCTGCCAGCAGCTCTCACAACTCGGGCAAGAGCATCAGCAGCCTCTTAGATGGTCTTGTGCATACGCGAAGCTCGGGCTCAGTGGGATTGCTTTTTCGGCTTGCATATAGATATGCAGACTGTATAGTAGTCTTGTCTGCTGTGAGACTCTGGACATCACCCGGAAGTTGCCTCCAGCCAGTAGCGATGGATCTTGCCCTGTCCTGTCTTTGCAGTCTGTTGTCAACTGAACCCCAAAACCCCAAAGCCATCATAGAAAGGCATTTCAACCCGTAAGCCCTATGAAACCCTTGTGAAGAAAAAACGGTTTAAACCTGCCAAGCACTGTACAACCCCTGTAAGGTGAGTGACACAAGACAGCGAGCTAATCTTGAGTCTTTCAGGATCACTGGGAGCTGCTGTTCTCCGAGAAATAACATTGCCTGGTACTTGTTATACTACCAATTCCAATGTAGAGCCCTGACGAATAAACCCCTCTCGCCCGATAAACGATAAAAAAACGGATCCTAATATTGAGGCCCTTACAGCCCTTGCGGGACATTATCGATCTGGAGTGCCCTAAACATCCCTAAACCCTCAACCCTGCACCCTCCCAAACCTTGTGTCCTGCCGCCAAAGCCCCCCAAGAACAGAATCTTAAGCCAAAGGCCCCGAACTCCGACTGGAAAAGGAGGCACGCCAGAATCTACTCGGGGTCAGAGTTTGGGGTTGAGGGCCTAGCGTGCCTGGACTTCTAGAGCGGAACGTTGAAGGCTTTAGAAGGAAGCTGAAAAGATCCGGGGCGTGCACACCTGAAGAAGCGTAATAGACATGAAGAAAGACAAGATTCGGAAGGTCTTAAAACCTGTTGTGATTATTTTTGCTGTTGTCGTTGTCCTAAATGACATAATGACTAAGACTATTAATAACTGTTATTGTTACTACTATTCAAGATTCACACCGCATCAACTCAAGCTCTCCGTAAACCCGAAGGTGCACATCCCCAGACCTTGCAAGCCGAGACCTCGAGACTTGAAACGGCAGAGATCACGACTTCAGATTCTTCCGAAACACTACTTACAGGATCAGGGAGCTATGTAAGCAAGGCTCCAAGTTATAAGTACCTTGATTGAGGATACAAGTAAACAAAATAACTACCTAAAGTCTAACCGTACTGATTCAGTCACTTGATCCTTCAAGCTACCATCGGCCCCATAGTAGTTCCTTTTGGGATTACTTTATAGAAATCTAAATATGAACCCCAAAAAGAAACGACCATGGGGCCTATGGCTAAACTATTGAGCCGAAGCCGAAAATTGGCGGAGTGTCTACCAGGACCCCCCCCCCCCCCCAATGGGCATTTAATGGAATCCTAATGGCCCTTCATCGTAGGTATTTGGGGTATATTGAAGGGTAGTTGGGGGGTCTAGGTAGCTGCCGCGGTTTAGGGGTTTTCGGCTTTGGAATTCAGTGAAACCTGAGCCCTACTAAAGGTCTCACAAAGGCCTCAACCCAGAATACCAGAAACTCCAAACTCCATGAACCGTGAGATCTGAGCACCAAGGCTCCTAAACTCCTAAACTCTGAACCCAATTTGTTGAACGAGGTCTCTCTGAAATGCATGATTTCATCAATCTCTCTAACTCCGAACGTATATATAAACCCGAAGCCCAAACCCCTAAACTCTGAACCTAAAACCTAATACCCTAAACCCTCACCCCTAAACTCTGAACCTGAAACCTAATATACGCAAAACCCTACATATAATGCATATAGATATAGATAGCTATGTATATATATATATATATATATATATATATATATATATATACATATATATATATACATATGTGTATATATATATATATATATCCTAAACCCTGAAAGTCGGTCCATCCGTGGCGTGGTGGTACAGGCGCTTCTTGCCACGCCCATCCTGGGAGCCAAGGACTCCAATATCCCTTAGTTAAGGAATACACTTTAAATCTTATTAGGGATGCTACTAGAACTTAAAGTATACTCCTTAACTAAGGGATAGACTTTAAGTTATAGTAGCATCCGTAATCAGATTTAAGGAATATCCCTTAATTAAGGGATATTGGAGTCTCTGGGGGGAGCCATGGACTTTGCAAAGGGTTTGGGGCGCTTTAGGGTTGAAGGTTTAGGGTTTTGGGTTTAGGGTTTCGGGTTTAGGTACCCATACCTGGACCCTAAGGAAACTACCTTTTTAGGGCCTCCCAATAAGATTTCTTTATATACGTCCCTAAAAAGGTAGGCTATTCCAGGTTAAGGCAAGTTTTAGGGTTTAAAGGGGTGTAGGGTTTGGGGTTTAAAGGGGTTGCTTTAGGGTTTCGGAAGTTAGCTGTCAGCAAGAGGGTTTATAAGGGGTTACGATTCAGGGTTCAGGGTCTAAGGTTGAGGGCTCAGGGTTTATAAGGTGTCTTTTCCAAACCCGCTTCGTAAACCAAGGGCTACGGGTTTAGGCTTTCCAGGTTCTTTGAGGGTCCTTATGAAACCACTCTGAAGTGCCCGTATAACGAGCCCTTGCAAGCACATATAAAGCCGCACAACAGCCTTTGCAAAAACCAGTTTGAGAACCCTTAACTGATAAAACACCTAAAGACTCACAGTAGCCCATGCGGGTCCCTTTAAGACGCCCTTCAAAGGAGCCCCTACACTCCCTTTCAAAGGGGCCTCGAAACTCCCTGTTAAAGGAGCCCCTAAACTCCCTTTTACAGGGGCCCCTGAACTCCCTTGCAAGCTGGAGTCCTGCTGTACCGCCATCCCCTGGCTTGTGCAGAGAAGTAAGAGATTCCTTCGAGGAAGCGCGATTTTTGTTTCGGTGGTTTCGGGCTTCCCGGACTCAGACCTAAGAGACCTAAGTGTTTCGGGCTCCTGATATACTGATTTCCTTGCATAAGCTCTGAAAAACCCTTGCAAGTTATCTCGGTTCAGGCAGGGATTAAACGAGATTTGTGTTGAATGCTTCAGGCTGATGGCTTAGGTTGTGCGTTTGTTTCTGGTGCTCCGGTTTTAGGATGTTGGCAAAGCCGTTGTAGCATTACATAAGATAAAGGTTCGTCTAAGTCGTAACAATGCCGTAGGAGTTTGTCACTTTGGGATTATCTGCTGTGGGGGGTGTTCGGGCAGGCAGGTTGTGGTGCTGAGGAGGGTTCGGTCTACTCCGCCTGGAGCAGAAACTAAAGCAACTAAAGGTCTCAAGGGTTCTACTTATACTAACTCTATGTCACAATATTAATACACAGCTACTGGTAGTAACTAACTATGGAAAATTATGGTAAGTTGCAGCTACGAAAACAATTATAGTGCATTATCTGAGGTTATATGTAGATTCATCATGTAGATACTGCAATAATTGACAGTTATGGCATAATATCTGGCATCACCCTGCTCCTGGGGTCGGCATCCTGCGTGGTGTTGTAGTTGTAGGCCTCACTGGCGAACTCCAGGGCTCCTCGACCTCGAATTTAGGGGTTCCTTTAAGGGGAACTCCAGAAAGTTGGAATATGGTTTCAGGGTAGGATACCTTCTAATTTACCATGAAGGGTTTAGGAAAATCATATTCCAACTTTCTGTCTTTTACTCTTAGTTGCTGAGTTCATAAGCCCCCAAAAGTGTACACTTTCAGTTTTATAGTGGGAAATATAGTGTAGTGTATCCACTCAGCTACTAAGTAATGGTTTCGGGAAAGGTTGCATTTTTATATAGGTTCAGCTGGGATTCATGGGAAAAGTTGCAAATAGTGCTGCAGCCGCGTCGTGGCTAACCTTAGACCTTTAGCTGCCGAACATGGCACAGCTACTACGTGACTTAGCGATACTTGTGACTACTACTTTTAATTCGACCACTGTTTTGAGCCGGGCAAGTCACTGCTGCCGGAATCCACGGGGAGGAACGTCGTCTGGAAGCGGATGGAGCACTTTGCGTCCAGCACGGCATCTGAGAGGTCGGTGTCACCGGGGAGGCCGGCGTACTTTCCATACCTGGCTTTGGGACATGCATGTGACCATTCTCTACGAAGCTCAGAATGCAGCAGCAGGATGCCCCTTGCGTCGACCTGCCTAGCACTCTGTATATACACCATTGGACCATGTATCTGTAAGAGTGCATAGGATAATAAGTAGCAATCAAAAGTGCTCATAACTACCTATAAACGAACTAGCCTAACTCTGAAACCTTTGGGCTGGTCCCTAGTGCCTGCAGCCAAAGCCGAAGCCAACTCCCACACGAACCGGTAGCCGTGGCTCAAACAGCGCGTCAAGCTGTCTTCAACGGTAAACCCTGTGCATCTACACTGTCCGCCGGAACCCCAGAGACCGCTGTGACCATGACACATAATGCTCGTACTAACCATCGGAGAAGAAACCAGACTGCTCCATACAATGACCTAAGCTATCACGACGATGATGTACCCCGTGGTTTCTTGATTGACCATCCTAAACCCCTAAACCCTCAAAACCCGAAGCTCTAAACTCCTGTGCAGTCAATTGGGCGCTTCCGAAAACAGGGGACCCTAATACCCTAAATAGTAGGATCCTTATTGTAAAGACCCCCGAACAAGGTATCCCTAATTTTCGGAAACCCTAAATCCTTTCTAGCGCCCTTCAAAGGAACCCTTATAGTACCCGTATAGTGACTCTTTAAAAGAACCCTAAGGTACCCCTAAATTGTCGGAAACTCCCATGTTACATGTTGTATCCCAGGGACGACCCGAGCTCCTGGAGTGCTGTTCGAAGGGTAACTGGCCGAAGGGGTCCGGAGCCCTTGCCTGCCCGGGCTAGGACCCAGAATCCAGAGTGCTAGGGTTACTAGTTCATGGTTGGTATAGGATTAAACATTTAGGTGTATATTCCTTACCGGGCTTAAGTACTCATAAAAATGTAAAATGTTCGCCAACTACTTATGACATAGGTTAAGGGTTCAGGGATTTGGCGGCTTTGGGCGCAATATCTCAGAATCTCAAGGTTCAGGGTGTCCCAAAACGGAAGCTTCTTCCTTAAGCCATGTAGCCTTTCTTATTAATTAAGGGGTGTTGGTCCTTCTGGGCCTGGGTTCAGGATGACAACATGTAGACATCAAAGATACCCCTTACAAGCCATTATAGGCTTGAAGGTTTCTGGTCTTGTATGAAGTTCCTGCTAGAGTTTTGTGCTTTGTTGCCTGCCTGGTCTTCGTGTTTAGGGGTTGGAGGTCGCACTGCGTTGAGGTTGTGGCAAACACCGCTCCCAAAAAAAAATCGCAAAACAAACCTCTAATTTGTTGTCTTTGGGATTCGTGGTTCGCTCGGCTGCGGCTGGAGTTGCTCTCGGGCTTGCATCCTGACCAGAGGTCGCAAAAGATTCGAAACCAAGCCTGATGCGCAAGCCTTATCAAGTAGAAGAGTGCTTTGGTGAAAATCATTGTGCTACTGTTGCATTTTCTCAAACCCCCCACGACTGATGTTATGTTTCCCTTGGGGCTCCAGTTCATAGTAGGCTACTAACCAACTACTCATTTTGCACCCGAGTAACCTACTATCTAGGTAAGTGGAGCCCTAGGGTTCATCAAGAACTAGGCCTAAGAGTAACCTAGGAATAAAAAGGGTGCCCTTTTTGGGTTAAAGAGGGTTATCAGAGAACCTAAACTCTAAAAAAGGGAATAAGGGCCTACTCTGGGTCCTAGAGAACCAGCCGCTTTAAGGGCAAGGATTTCGTTTCTCGACCCCCAGTTTTTCGTATGCCCGGAAAGCACACGACAACCAACCGGATCTGACGGAAATTCTCAACTATACCCTAATTAGGGAATACGGGGGCTCTGCTAAAGCGTACGTGGCGTCCTGGATATGTGGAAAGTTTATTTATACTCTTAGCCTCCGGGAGATCGTTGTTGAAATGTGATGCTACTGGGACCATCATGAATAAATCGCCTTGCCACAGCCCATATACTTGCAATCACAAAGGAACCAACGCACACTGACCGTAAAAACACAAGGCTAAAACTTGAATTGCACAAACCATGGGCCGTGAAACGCACCTTGGGCCCGAAATCCTTCTTGATGGACTTTGCAGTTGCGCTTGGTGTTCAAACTTGAAACCCAACACACCCCCCTGCCCTGCATAAACCCTGAAACCCCAACACCTGACACCCGATGACTCAGTCCGTAAAGCCGTTCAATAATATACTCAAGTTGTTGTGAAAAACCGAAAACTCGAATCAGAAGCAGCCTGCCACCACGGCCACCTCCTCGCAAGCTTGGAGATGAGGATTCATAGGATTGCCATAACTTTCAAGGGTTTGCCGCTCCAAGGGTTTAAGGTTTCTTTCACTGCGCCGCCGTGACCGAACAGCTTTTGTTAGGCATTTCATTTTAAGTTACCATAGTAAAGAAACCATGTATATATATATATATACTATACATCCCTACTATGGTAACTCGAATTAAATCCTTTAACAAGAACCCCCAGACAAGGTCCTGGGGGCTTGCCTTGGATTCAGCGATCCACAACCCCCGACGACCCATATCGCTAAGTCATCGGGTTGACATGGCCAAACATGTCGCTTCCATACCGCAGGCGTATTTTTCAGCCTCCGGCAAGCACCAGAATATTGTTTGCTGGAGCATCGTCCCGGGGGTATGATTTAGGCATTCGAGCTTTCTCGGATTTCTCGGCAACAGGATGCAAACGTTGTGTTTCCCTTCTTGCATTACTGGGTGGGGGGGTGGCACAAACGAGTGGTACCTAAAACATTCCCCAAGTTTCAATAGCTCCCCCGTTCCAAAAACTTGAACAAAGGAATATCTATATGCAAACAATGAGGAGATCATGACAATTGCTGTGTTGAGCTCTCGCTGCTTACGATTTCGTGATAGTTGGGGAAGAGGTGGTGGCAGGAGTTTGCCTGAACTAATAAGTACCAGTACGGTTCGTTCTTCAATGACGGATCCATCTTAGCCTAATTTGAGTGAACCAAAAAACCCTACAAACAGCTAATCACAACTATCGATCAGTCACGGGTCCTGTGCTCCGATATACCCGAGTTTCTCGTTCCAGTTGTTGCTCCGGACGGTGAAGAGTGCTGTGCCACTGCGGCTCTTGAGATAGGTGTCCTTAGGGCTATTGAGGGCATTCATCAGGGTTCGTGTTCAGGGTGTGCTGAAGAATTAGAAATGGGTGGAACTCGGGCGTAGGGCCTAGGGTGTCCTGAAGGCTTCAGAACGGGTTGAGCGTTCAGGGCTTGGCATGTCTTCACTGTAAGGGTTCACGAAGCTTTTATAAATTACGCCTATGGCGTGGGTGGGATTGAGGGGTCCTGAAATGTTTTGGCAGGGGCCAGCTGTGCTTGGGCGGGTGCTTATGGTCCGCGATGCTATTCACCCTCAAACCCGAATCAAGCCACTCGGCGTAAAATATCAACTGTTCAGGCCGGCAGCGGTAATGTTGGCACCCCAGCAAGATAGGGAACCTCCCACAGTGCCCCTGCTGACGTCGTCCCACGACACGATCTTGCAGCTGTAGCCTGCACCGTGCAACCAGGGCTCTGGAAAATTATGCTCTCACACTCGGGCTCGCCAGATGAGGTTCGTGGTTCGCAGTCAGTCACAACTGTTGGGGAATGAGACGGTCTAGGTTCACATTGTTGCCTATGGGAAAGTTTTGACCTTGTGTGTTGAAGGTGGTTGAAAATACCCTGCATGGCGTATGCTGGCCCTGATCTTTTGTGCCCAAGCAGAGGCTGAAATGGTCCTACGGCTGATGAGATAAATCCTGCATTAACCATAATAAGGAATATGCCATCATTCCCGTAGTTTAGGGTCCTTAAGGTAATGCAGGATGTATGTCATCAACAGTACTTTGCCAAACTGGCGACGCTGGCCTGCATAGTGACCACCTTTGCTGCGGCAAGCTTCGTTGATGGCCTCGCTGAGCTGAGCGCTCACGTCGAAGGAGGATCACAACAAGGCTTCGGAAGAGTCGAGCATTACAAAACTACTTGGGATATACATGAAGGTTCATGAAGGGGTAGGATCCAGTGATTTCTCCATACACACACCAGTAGAGGGCATTGTGCCAAGCGCTGGTCCCTGCTACATGCGGCTCGCCGAGAGTCCCTCATACAATCAGACCTACATCACCATTCTCAAGGTCGCCACGATGCTGAACACCTGATCTCGCATGTTGAACGACACCCGCGAGGACATGCCAGTAAGCCCAACCTGTCCCTTCCGCAAGATGCTGATTCTTTTGAGCCCAGACTCTGCCCAAACCCTAAACCCCGCCTTAAGCCTACCTCCCTAAACCCTAAACCCTTAACTTAACCCTAATTAAACCCAAACCCTAAACCCTAAAACCTAAACCCCAAGCCCTTAAGCCCAGGCCTTCATGGTTTCGGGAACGGTCGGCATTCTGCAACACCGACACTGAACCAAAGCTGCCGAGAGCTACGCTGAAAGTGGCTTGATCCTCATCGGCCACAGAAGCGTGGGATTCCGATCTAGTACAGGGTCGGGATAATTAGTCACTATATCCCCTCATTTTCGCCACAGATTTGTAGTATGTCATGTATAGCCCTTTGAGAAGATGAGCCCAAACATCAAAACTCAAATTTCAGACATTTGCGCCACCTCAGACCAGTTGGAACGACCAGACTCTCGAAAGCACGTCCGCCGTCCGCCCCGAACGACCCTGAACCAGCTGGATACCGCCAAAACCTAGGAAGGCATCTTAGGGCCGATGGTTCGTTCAGGCCGGACAGGCCAGTGCGAAGGACGCGTTAAGTGCTGCAAGTACAAAGGTTCTCTTCAAGCCCTGTCAACTGTTGATCCTGCGCCGGGGGCGAAACCCCAACTCATGGGACTTAAGCCAAGCCTAACTCCTAAGATTCCTAAGCTTGACCTACACCCCAAAAATCTGACCCGAACCCCCAAAAAAACCCTTCGAGGAACCTTTAAAGGTAAAGGGTTCATGTAAGGGTCCTTAACAGTGTCTTTTAATGGTATCTAGAAAGGGGCTTACTGTCTGCTAGGGCAACAGCGAATGGGACTTCTTAGCACAGGCGGTGGAAGCAATGCAGTGCCACCAAGTTGAAATAAACTCGCGACCACCACCAAGACGAAATACACCCTGACAAGGCTTGAGGTTCTCCAACTCACATACATAAGGGGGTTTTCATAGAGAAGCGGTATAGGGCGCCTGCCTTTTTAGCATCATTTGGTCCTTAAGAACAGTCCCAGTTTTAGCAACGAGCGCTTGCACTGGGCTTCAGGAAGAAGCCATTGCCCCCGGCCCCCGAATAAGCCCGAAAACCCCCGAACCAACAACCCAAAGCCCAAACACAAGCTAGCTCTTGCGGGTTCAGGCTTAAAGTTTATGTGACTGTCAGCGCCAGGTTCTGAAAAGAGAACCAGGAACTGGAAACTACGGACCCCAAAAACCTACAGTCTCACTTTTAAAACCGTCATAAGCTTACCCTTATCAAAGTTTGTGACGAATACCCTGTTAGAACGTGGGAACACCCCTTGAATGTTTTTCGTCGAGAGACTGCGACGCGCCTGTAAAGACAGTCTTTCGAACACTTGAATCAACCCAATTAAGAGAAAACCCTAAGGTAAACCCTAAACCCTAAACTGTAAATCGGACGAACCCCGACCGCAGCACCTGGCGCTCGGCACTTTGATGCTGCGCTGCAGGTGCGATTCCTGAGGCGACTCGGCAAGAAGACTTATCAGTATTGTTATTGTAATTTTTCATGTTCTTGTTAATCAAAATCTTACTGTTTGTCTTGTTGTATTTCTTCCTCTTCAACTCATTATCAAACGATCGGCTAAAACCTCCTAAACCCGGAAGCCTAAGCCCTAATCCTGAGCATAAACCGCACACACCGAAATTCCAAACCCTAAACTCGCAGCCCTGAGCGTAGAACGTAACATAGGGGCCTTAATAATTAGAATAGGGTTTTGGGGGCCCATTATACTATATACTTATAATAAGGAACCCCCACCATAATATTGGTAGTTATTTAGGCCCTATATTATGATTTTCTGGAACCCGGCCTGACCCTTCGACGGGAAGAACACCAAGCCCCCAACTTGCCATGCTCATGAGTCCGGCACTGCACTTAAAATCCCAAAGGGCATGCAACGCAGGCATGTTGTCACTCACACCACACACACTCTCACCCTAAGCCCCTTTGCTGAGCAAACCCCTAAACCCTAAGCCTACATCCTAATTAAAAGCCTGAAAGCCCTAAACCCAGATCATACGCCCGTAGATCCTCATAACCTCGTGATGCATGCAAGAGATCGGCGACTGGGGCTCAAGATTTTCAGAAGGTCTTCTAGGGCTTAGAATCTCCATCGCTCATGACCAACTTCGGCTTGGGTTTGGGTTTTTGTCCGGTGTAGGTTTGTAAGCGTGCGGACCCTAAACCCTACCGACGACTAGAAATCCCAGAGAAAGGCCCGGACGACGGTCCGCAGGTGTTCTGCAGACAGGCCATAGCGCTTCGACAGGCCCCGGGCCTGCGTCTCAAGTTGGGGTGCAAGGCTTTAGGGTTCAGGCCATAAGAATCGCTTAACCCCTTAAAGGCTTAGTTTTTGGTATTGCTTGCGGCTCCTTTTTCCCAAAATCCGCAGTGCTTAGGGTTTAGAGTGTATTAGACCCCTGAGTAGCACACCCGTGTTTTTCAGAAGGAGGAGTTGTAAAGGAGTCCTGGTAATCGGGCATGTACAGAAAAGGGGATTATGGTTCCAAAAACCCCTAAGCCCGTTCAAAGTCTAGATAGACCCGAAGCCCGGAACCATCAGCTCAAGCGCCCTGGCATCGAAACCTAGTCTAACAGATGTGTAAACCTTGAAAGCATATTCGCCGCATGCCGTCTGAATCGCGGCTACTACTGCATCCTACCTTATGGTAACCTTAAACCCGCCGCCTCAACCCGAAACCCTAACCTAGGGCCCAAAAAAGGCACAGAAGCAAAACAAATGGATCGGGATATCCCATATAAACCCCTTGTAATGAACCCCAATAAGGTAGGGATATCGCTATAAAATGCTTATTATGTTGTGCTTTGGGGGTTCCTAAAAGGGATCTATACGGGTTTCTTAGAGTTATCTATAAGGGTTCCTTTAAGGGTATGGCATTCTTTTGTGCTTTTTGGGTCCCTAACCTACGATGGTCCTGGCCTCGCCGAGCCATGCGCCGGCCTTCACGGAAGGCTGTGATACAAACCCAGTACTCCAGAGTTTTCAAGCCTTGGGGTTTAGGGTTTAGGGTTTTAGGGTTTGGGGGTTTAGGGGTTTAGGGTTTGGGGGTTTAGGGGTTTAGGGTTTGGGGGTTTAGGGGTTTAGGGTTTAGGGGTTTAGGGGTGTAGGGTTTAGGGTTTAGGTGTTTAGGGGTTTAGGGTTTAGGGGTTTAGGGTTTAGGGGTTCATAGGGTCAGGCTTGGGGTTGATCGGTTAGAAGGGGCCCCCACCCTGTAATAGTGACTATAAAAGATTATAGTAGGGCCCTATTATAGTACAGGGTGGGGGCCCCTTCCAATTTATAGGGCTCAGTGTTAAAGTCGCTTAGTCCTAAGGATTCATGGTTTGCCGTCAATGGCACAGTCATCCTGGGTCGAACAGTAACCCACTAGCCTGGTCTACTGCAGTCTTCTCGGCCCTACCGCCAAAACTGCGAGTCCTGAGAATAGGGTCAAGTTTAGTTTCAGGGTTGAGGGCTGGGCAAGACTCTATTACTCATGATGACAGCCGGTGGTACTTGTATTTGTGTTGACCAATAGTGCTTTCTCGGGTTATCTCATTATCAGGAAGTCCCACTTCAAAGCCGAAATCCCACTTGGTGCGATTCTTTCCCTTCACTCAGAACCTGCAGAACTTCCCAAGGTTTTGGGGTTTAATACAGGAACCTGATTAAGAAACCTTGGGCCTTTATGAGGGTTCCTTATTATGAATCCTACTATATTTGGGTATATAGGCCCAGGGTTTCTTAACCGGGTTCCTACATTGGGACTGTAGGGCTTCGAGCATTCGAGGTTCGAGGCCCGGGCTCACACTTCTCAGCAACAAATGCAGACATCTGCCTATAGTCTCCATGGTAATTCCTTTTATGGGGTGTACCTTTTAGGATCCTTCACATAGAATTGGTTAAACCAAAAAAGGAGCTACAATGGAGACTATAGGTGCTTCCTGGTCTGCCCATGATGATTTATGGTTTGTGCTCTTCTGACTGCGTCGGGAGAATTCCAGGACAAATCACAAACAACTACAACGGCTCTGATACTGGGGAGTTCCCCCCCGGCACGTTGCGTCGACAGCCTGCAGAGGCTCGAAACTCGACCAGCTGTCCCGAAAAAAAAATCCAATGCAAAGCCCTGTGGTGACCCTAAAGACTCTCGAATCAGGACTCAGACAACCTCTCACAATGGCCCCCCAACGCCCTTGCCAAAAACCATCCCCAAAACGGCAACCATAGCATCCAAACCTTAAACCTGACATGCCACACCCACAAGCCCTAAAACCCCAACCCAAGATGAACGCCTTTGGGGCTGGTGGTTTCGTGGAAGCAGGCGGCGCTTTTCCACTGGCCTCGCACAAGAAGGTTTTGTGGAAACCAAAGATACCCTAAGGCTCCTACTTGGAGGGTCGGGGGACTTAGTAACTGGTTATTTTATAGACTTATAAGTACCATAACCCCAATTAGGGTCTTTAGGGTACTTATAAGTCTACTTACTACCTACTTACTAAGTCCTCCGACCCTCCAAGTAAGAGGGTCATGGGATCTCTGGGGGAGGGGTTTGTGCCTGCTTTGGTTTAGGGTTTAGAGTTTTAGGGGTTTAGGGTTTCTGAGGCTGCATAGAGTGTCTATTGATGCTTCAGACTGGATGTTTGCGGTGTATTTTGGGCTTTGGGGGTGAAGGTTTGGGATCTCACTACGACGTCACGACGAGGGTCCAGGAGCATCAGGGTAGGGTTCGATTTGCAGTAGGGCCCGGGGTTTCGTCAGAGAGGGATCCTTCCTTTGGTGTTCGGAAGCGGTGCTAAACAAGAAACCCTAAAACACTCAAACTCGAAACTCCAAAGCCTACAATTTCAGCCCTAAGCCCTGAGCCTACATTCTAAAAGCAGGTTTGAGGTGGGTTCAAGCTCTACCTTACGGTCCTCTAGGTTTCACCGATTTAAAGGGGACTGATTACATCCTGGCGTGCTGAACCTCTGAGAAAACTCGTCAGGAAAGGCTATGTAAGGGCCTTAATAATTAGAATAGGATTTTGGGGACTCCTTACTACAATTATGGCATAGTATACCCCCCAACCCTATTCGAATTATTCAGGCCCCTACAGTACTTGAAGTTTGGAGGCTCCAAGATATTTGTCGGTAGGGTCCTTCGTAGCTCAGTTGGGATTTCAGGGAATCATGAACACGCATTGGTATTATGGATGGTTTCCTTGCTTATACCCACATTCCACTGACATACCGACATGCAGCGGCAGGGGCTTTGCGGGCTTTGGCGATGCCCCAAATCCGTGAGGTGCAGGGTTTTTGACTCGCACGCTCGCAGAATGAAGTGTAGGATTTAGGGGTTTAAGTACGGTCCTGTGGTTGGAAGAGCCTGAGCATCAAATCTGTTGGCCGAAAGTCACTCCACGCAGCGTACGAAACAGAAGGTTACTACCCCAGTGTTTTGCGGTAGCACCCTTAAGACGGTACGTTATTGGAGACACAGGTGCAGCCTAATCTGAACACTGATGCGAAGGGCGCACGGGTCTCTTTTCCTCCTCGCTGCCGTCGTCGATTTCCGAGAGCGAAGCCAAAGCCTCACTAAGCTCCTGCGGCAGGGGGGCCTCAACATCCACGATGGCTCGTGAGAGGTCACCTGAGCTCCACAGGATTCAGGCTTCAAGGTCTAATGGGCCCTATAGGCTTTAAGACTTACGTAAGTTTAGGGCAGTTTTGGATTTGAGGAGTTGGGGTGAAAGAATTGAAGAGTTGGATTGACAAGACAACTCTCTGGATCGGCAGCTGCAGCAGCAACGCCGAAAAGCCAGGTTTTGAGTTTAGAGATCAAACTAGAGGGAGCTTTGCCGCTCAGCGGAACTACATGGAGGCAGGGGGCTGCCGAAACAGTCTGAATATGATAGCGGTGGCACCTACACCAAGCAGTTATGGTCCCTACCGACTTCTACGATACCCGGAATTAAGTATCTAACCATGAAGCCATTATAGGACCCAAAATTCAGCCATGCCGCGAAAGCGCAGGGACCGGCAATGAAGGAACAAGCGCGAGCACCAAGGGACCTGCTTGGGGATTCGGATTCAGCGTTGAGGGTGTAGGGGGGCCCACTACAATTTGAGCTTTCGGGTGTACTTGAATGTCCAAGCGCCTATCGTTCTACGGACATGTATAGAGGAATCAGAACAAAGAGCCGTAAAAAGGCATTGTAGGTCTCGGCATTGCTAAGCAATCGAAGGGCGGAAGGGCGAAGAGGGGCGGGGAGGGGGTGGTAGTTAAAATGGAATCAACATTACACCAAAAAGGTTAAAGTTCAAGGTTACATACAAGTTTAAGCTTACATACCTACTCTACTAAACCCTAAACCCTAAACCCTAAACCCTAAACAGGCGATGAAAGAGTCTCGAGCCCGAAGCCCCTCTTTGTCGTCGGCCAAACCCGGCAACACCAAATTCCAAAGGTGCAGCGCAGAAAAGACGCGAGGGCCAAACTCCGAAATCGCAACTCTCCACGGACTTCAATACTACTGTTGTTGACACCCAGAATACCAGAACTCAGCTTTCATTATACTAATAACGACAGTAAGAGTACTGCGAATGACCATAGCAGAAGTAGGACAGAGCCTCGATGCCGTAAAGCACATCACCGATCCTGGGCCGATGGCTCTCACTACTCCGAGAATCAAAACAAAACACCGTGGACTCCATGACTTGAATATCTTCTGTTGGGAGGGTACACTATGGTACAGCGAGAGTAAGGAACCACACGAATAGTAGCAGTAAGCGCTGAAGCTCCTATGCTACCGTTAGCCGAGCGGGCAAAGCAGCAAGGTGCAACAAGGATCTTGTCCAAGGATTTCGGGGGGGGAGGGTCAATTACTCGTTAGGGGTTTGGGGCGATACTCTTGTTGTCCTGGTTGTTGCGGTATGTTTTGGTTCTACCGGTCTAGGGGTCAATAGTGATACGCTCAGACCGACGGCGTCGTCGAAACTTTTTCCTGTTATCAACAAGACACACCACTCTTTTTCGTCGTGCCTGTTTTGGACGTACTCACCACGCACTCTTGCTATATCTTGTGCTATTCAGGACTGCATGTAGCGAGATGCGAAACTTGCATGTAACATCGCAAATGCTGCTAATGCTTGCTCATTCGGTCACCACCTTCACTCCGAAGCCGGGCACACGCTAACAAAGCTGGCGCACCTGCGAGGGTTTGGGCACCTGAGAAAACATCAAGCCTGTACATGGGAGACCATTATTTCTCTGGACATTATGCCACACGCTAAACCCTGAATCCGAAACCTGATGCAGACTCGGACAACCCAAGCTCAGAGGCAGCGTTTGCAATCGCAATGGGGCTGTTAAGGCAGGATCCTTAGACTCGAAGACTTATCGATTTGGGGTTTAGGGTTTAGTGGCCCCGGATCTAGAATCATGATAGAAGAATTGAAATCAGTCGGGCATCAGAGGCCTCCCGATGCTGGCCAGGTGGACACCTGGACTAAACTTCACGTTTCACGGTGGCAGGTGTATCTGTCAATGTACGTGTACGTATGTATATATATATATATATATACATGTACGTACACAAGTTTTGTGCTTATTCATTCCTCAGGTTTACTGCAATGTAGACAACTAGGATAACTACGGCTCGGGTATTGCAGCTGGATTTTAAAATGACTACAGGCCTAGCTATCCACTGAATGAGAAAAAAGACAAACACATAGATAGATGCGTCTAAATACACACATCGATCAATATATGTATGTGTACTTGTATCAAACAAGCGGGGCGTCAATGCAAATGAACCGACTACAATAGGTGGGAACAACGACTCGCTGTCGCAAGATTACTTCGGGTTCAGGGATTCGGCCTTGCGAACCCCTGAATTCTAACAAAGCCTAACCCAAACTCTTTAAAACATACAATTTTTAGCTAGGCGAGGTAAGGACGTGTATATTGAGTGGGCCCAAAGTGCTTAACATACCTGTTAAACCGTTAACCCCAACAGTAGTAAGACTTACATTGAGCTTGATGCAGGGCAATTGAAGTCGGGCATTCGGTCGTCGAGTTCTGCCTAAGCCCAATGCTCCACGCCCAAAAGAGCTCTAAACATCGCCCTCACAACACAGATGATCTAGGTTGGGCTGAACCCACCTGTAGTCTCCATTGTAGTTCCTCTGTTGGTTCAACCAATTAAATAGTAAGGATCCTAAAAGGTAACCCCAAAAAGGAACTACAATGGAGACTATATACGCAGCTCTTTGAGACCTGAGCTTCACCCGAGGACCTGTAAGCGCTGCCCAGCAGCGGATCTGATGTGTGCGGCCTGTCAGCAGCTGCACCTTCACATCGCCACTTAGGGTTTAGGGTTTAGGGTTTGCATGCTAATTACCCAAAGGCCCCAAAGTAGTTCCTTTTTGGGGTTCGTATATAGAATCCTATAAGGTAATCCCAACAAGGAACTACTTTGGGGCCTCTGGGTAAGCCCTGCAACCTAAGTTGGTTTTTGGCTTCAGGGTGAGCTTTTTTGTGTTGGGAACTGAATGATGCGACTGGATTTTGGTGTTCTGGAATTTGGGTGCAACGCTGTTGTATGTCAGGCTTCGGGCGTTGCGGCTCTGGCTTTGGCTATAGTCAGCTCACAAGCGCAGGATGTAGACACGTCTGATCATGCATTCAAGCTTTCGGTGCAAATGCAGAGACTGCTACGCTTTCGAGACAGTAATCAGTACCGGGAAAGGTGGACTTGCAGACTTGCAGCCCGCCTTTCTGCGACCCGGAAGCCTAAACCCCTCAACCTCCAAACTCTCAACCCCCCAACCCCGAACCCGTGAAACACCTACATTTATAAAACTGAAGAAGCCTTGCAGACGCCATCTAGAACCTCTGTAAGCCCTAGAAATCATTAAACGCCAACCTCTAAACCCTCTCCTCCTCTTCCCCCGAGCACTTACTCCCGCAATAAGCCACAAACATGACAGTGCTAAACTTTCAGACTAGTACTAGTGTCTGGAGGACTCCACATAGTATTGGAGAACTAAGAGCAGCCTTCAGCAGAGTAATCTCCTCTTCTTCGGTCACGTCTGGCGACTCATATCTGCCGAGAACCTCCTGAGCATAGGGTTCACGGTTAAGGTTTGTAGCTTATAATTCGGTTTCAGGGTAGGGGGATTACGATTCGGCACAACTGGGACAAGCCCAGCGAGGATTCTGGTTCGGGATTCGGGCAGCACACGATCGGCCCATCTACCGACAAACGCCTGAAGGGAAAAGGGTTCTTTGTAAGGGCAATATAGGAACTGCACTACCCAACAAAAGGTTAAAGGTTACCTACTCTACTACTAGGCCTCTCGCAAGGCTACGAGCACTGCCCGGGTTTGCTTGGGATTGTGCCCAGAGACTCCAATATCCCTTAATTAGGGAATATTCCTTAAATCATATTAGGGATCCTACTATAATTTAAGGTGTATTCCTTAATTAAGGGATATAGGAGTCTCTGGGTGGTTTCGGGCTTTGGAGCTTTAGCGCCAGACCCGGATCTGCTCATCCTAGAATGTACACAGGGGTGCAAGAGCATGTGGGTTTTCGGGCGTGCCCAGAGCCGGAAGCAACATACCCAAAGCTCATGCTAGATCAAGTAGCTCGAATCATTCAACTCTAAGCTATAAGCCTTGCGACAGAGACCTGCAACCCGAACGACAGATATCTAAGCCCTGAGGGCTAGGCCATTGCATAGCCTAAGCCTTAAGCTCTAAACCCTCCATTCCCATAGATCTCTAAAGCTTAAATGAACACTTAACCCTGCAGACGACAGCTCCGGAACTTCCAAATCCTGAACCTTTTCTGCTCCGCAGCTGGGACCCCTCGATGCCCTACACCCGGAACCCCAAATAGACGGCGCTGAACTCAAAACCTTTCACCCTAGAGCTCGAAGCCCTCTAGGGCCTATAACTCCAAGCCTGTTAGACCCTAAACCCCTAAGCCCTAAAGGGCCTAAACTCTAAACCTTAGACCGGGAACCCTGTAAGACTCCAAGCAAAGAGCCCAGAACTCGACGAGCGTCGTAGGCAGTATGCGCAGGACGCCCAAGAGCGGAGACCTGACACACTTGACTTTCAAAAGGCTCCAAAAAGTGAGACGAAGGTGGGTGGGGTAACCCAAAATATAAGTCCTTACATCAAGGATCCTTTATCCTACCTCCCCTTCATCCCACCTTTTGACTTTCCCATGGGCAGTTCTCTAAATTAGGTTCCCTTTGAGGGTCCTTCTAAAAGGGTGCCGTGCTATTTTGGGGGATCTGAAATAGAGACCCTGATTTAGAGAACTACCCCTATAGGGTTTTAGCATCGAGGGTGTTAGGGGTGTTAGAGGTTTACGCTCTCGCAGCTCACAGTTGCCAGATCACGTCTCACGATGCTTGGTCGGAAGGGGTTTAAGTGTTTAAGTTTACGGTTTATGAAGTCCTGAAGCCCGTGTCCTACCCGTACAAGCCACAAGTACGCCTCCTCAAGTCCCATGTTACGCTGCTATACCCTTACCCAACGCTGCAACAGCCTGAAATTCACATAATTATGGGAAGACTACAAAGCGGTGTTCAACCAATAGCTCACACAAAGCTGCAATCCAGGAAAACCCCTGAACTCCAACACCCTACATCCCTCAAACCCGGTGACCACAAGGGCAGATGCCAACAGCCGCTAATTTGGAGGGGGACGGGGGCGAGGGGGCTTGTCTTGAGGCACATTATACTATATCTAAAACCATGGAACCCGCATGGTGATTCTGGTGATTACTCAGGCATAAACCCTCAACCCTTAATGGACCCCTGAAGTTGGTCCCAATAGATTATTAGGACGTCACCTCGGTGCGGAAAACGCATTCTTCGACCTCCCTCGTGAGCAGCGGGTGGCGCACCTCCTTGGCATTAGGGTCTACCTGTAGTCTCCATTGTAGTTCCTTTTTTTGGTTTAAAAATTCTATGTTAAGGACCCTAAAAGGTAACCCCAAAAAGGAACTACAATGGAGACTGCAGGTAAAATGTTAATTACTATAAACAGGGTTATATATTAGGTTCGGTGAAAGGGGTTACAGGTAGAATAGTTGAATTTCGAGTTCAGGATTTAGTATGGTTCGCAAGAAGCGATATACACAAGTCTGCCAGGTCCACTTCGGGTTTAAGAGCTGGGGTTGGTTTCTGAGCCTCGGGGTTTTGGGGATTTGGGTCGGGGGGTTTGGGGTTTAGGCTTTGGGATTTCTTCTGGCCATCTGCTTTTAGCTCTGTCTGCACGAACCGGGGAAGCTTCCCGGTACCTGCTCCCAACCCTTCATTGTACTCCACGTCTCCACTTTGCCAGGCTAAGGGTTCTCGTTGTGAGCAAGGGGTTAATGGGTTGCAGTGGGACCCCCTAAACCCTAAACCCTAATGAGCAATCCTAAAGCCCAGTTCTGTTGGGCCGCCTTATTGTGGGTTCTGTATCAGGCTGGCCAAGTCCGAGCCGTAGGTGTCGTGGCTTTTGTCGGTGCCAAAAGCAGAACTCAGGATACTTCGACTCGGGCTCAGGTGCATAGTATACTAATTCGACCATACCAGTACCATAACTGTCTTATACTACCCTGCAGATAAGTAGTACTAACCATTCCGGACCAAGGATTAAGCCAAACCAACGCTCAAAGCTGGGAGTGGGGTCGGGCGTTAAGGCTTTCGAGTGTCGCCGGTGACACCACGGCAGCCAAGGGAGACTCCTTGACAAAGGCACCAATACCTCGGCGAAGATATTCTGATTCCGTGTCTGCTGAAACTAACTCGCTTTCTGGGTTTGCTACAGGTACGGAATATCGGAGACCTTGAAAATTTCGAGCGGGTTTTTGGCGCACATTTTCAGACACTTATTATATAAAGGGAATGGTTTCCCCTTACTGACTCTTCCGGCCCCACTTCGGGTCCAGGGTTTTTTCCCTCCTACGGGCCCAGGTTTAGGGTTTAGGCTTCGTTTAAGGCCTCGGGGCCTACACGGAGTTTTCTTCTTAAGACCCCGGCCCTCGACCGAAGTTCCAAGCACGATACAGGGGCCTTAATTAGTACTTATCATAGTGTCGAGGCAAGGACTCCAGATGAAACCCGAAATAGCGAACCTCCTAACTTCCACAAAAGAGCCCTGAGTCGAAAATTCAACTGACAAACCAACCTAAGCTCTGCAAAGCCCTATGGAAAGCTCCGCACTGTCAGTACCCTGACTTAAGGCCTACAGCCCCCAACACTCAAACCCGTATTGCATAAGCACAGTCGCTCCTTCTTCACTCTCCGCGCAGCAAATTGGAGTTGAAGCCATTCCTGGGTCCCAGTAAGGAAGGGAAAATGGGATCCTCAGGCTGCCTCTGCAAATCTTAGGAAACCGTACATCTTCGTCCTAAGCCCTGTTACAAGTAATAATTACCTACAGCAGCCGGAACCCAATAAAAAGAAGGTCGCTAGTGCACAACCTGGGTTTGAGAGGAAGTTGCGTAGGAACCGCGTTCTCTTCAGTAAAACCTGGTTCTTCTTCAGAACCTAAGTTCTTATGGTATATGTCGGGAATTCTTGCGTTTATGTTGAGGTTTATAAAGGGCAATCTAGGGGATTCCGACGAACATCAGGGGCTTCAGAGAAAGTGTGATCCCAGCTCGGGCAGCGCATCGGCTCTTTTTTGTCGTGACGGCCCTGATCACCGCCGTTTTGTCGCTGATGCCGGGGCCCCGATGCCCTGACAGAGAAGTGGGATGCTGCTGGATTGAACTGCTTCATAGATGTAATTTATGCATCTTTCTGTTTAGCTGTATCGGCTTCGCAGGCAAGAGTGTGATTCTCGCCATGGCTGAGCGGTTTTCGGTTGAAGGTCTGGCGAGTGAGTGGGAAGGCTTCGAAAACATTCGGAACAGATTGCGTTCGGAAGACGGCCGGCTTGTGATTCGGAACGAAGATCAGACCTATGATCCAAGCAATCGTTTGGCTATCTTGAATGTGGATCTCCTCGCCCCCATGTTGGTTAGAATGACCCTCTGCAAACTTAAGATCCCGGACATCGAGCCGTTGCGATCAACGGTGCAGCAGGTTTATCAACTTGTGAGCAAGGAGCCGTCTGACAGCCAAATCGACGACGAGGCATGGGCTCTTCGTCACCTCGTGGGCCATGTGAAGCGCAAGACCCAAAAGCATCTGGTTTCTTTGGATCCTGGGAATTTACATAATCTTCAGTCGAAATTCGAGGTTGCTGCTTTGTAAAATCTAGACAGAGCATGCAGTCTTCATCCTGGGCCAACTTAGGAACCGGATTTCCAAGACATGTGCCTGATTTTGAACCCCGACCTCGAGGATGCCTTTAAAGTGCGGTTCTGATTGTTGTGTTTGTTTTGTGTCTAGTGAAGCCCCCTCTCCTTCATGGTGTTTGCAGGACCTGGTGCGAGAGATTCGGGAACGTGCAGAATCCGTCCCAGAGCATTCGCCTGATGAAACACTGGAGGCTCAACATAGCCGTAGCACATGTAAAAGGTATACTCAGCCAATTTTTTTTGCGAAGCGATCAGCCCTCCTCTGAAGCAGGTGGCGCTTGATGACAGTCAGCCAGCTGGGGCTGGAGCTTTTGAGCCGGGAGAAGATTTGATGTTGGCTGCTGCGCCAGCATCCGTGCCCGTACCCGGGCCAACGGTTCCCGAACCCGAGCCAGCGTCGGAGCGCCCTCCAGCAGCCCATGTCACCGAGCCAGCTCCCGAAAGCCCAATCCGACCTTTTCCCATAGTTCCCAGGCCATCGAGACGCTCTGAAGCCCCCAGGCCCAGGCCCGAGACAACACGTGATCCCGAAGTTTCAACACGCGGTCCCGAAGCTGCCTCAACACGTGGCCCCGAAGCTGTGCCAACACGTGGTCCCGAAGCTGCCTCAACACATGGTCCCGAAGCTCGATCAACACGTGGTCCCGAAGCTCCATCAACACGTGGTCCCGAAGCTATGCCAACACGTGGTCCCGAAGCTGTGCCAACACGTGGTCCCGAAGCTGCCTCAAGTCCCGAAGCTCCATCAACACGTGGTCCCGAAGCTCCACCAACACGTGGTCCCGAAGCTCCCAGGCCAAAGCCAACACGTGGTCCCGAAGCTCCCAGGCCAACAGTTGTTGAACACCGGGTGGCTAGTGCTCCGGAACCTCCAGCCCCCGTGCCAACTTCTTGCGGGATTGCTGTGAACGCTGCTCCCAATACTCCCTCCCCGGTGTTTGAGCTACCCTCACCCGCTGCTTCTGTGATCCCTTCAGAGTTGAGTCGCCCTTCGATCGGCTCTAGCATGCTTTGACACAGCTGTTGCAAATATTACATCATGCATGGGTTTCGGGATTCCACGAATCTCACAATTGCTTATCCAAGGCAGCTCGAAGAAGCTCCAGCTCAAGATGCTGCAGGATGAGCTGAGAAAGTGTCTTGCTTACATATGATTCAAGCTCGTGTGTGTTTAATGCATGCATGGTGTTTACAAAAGAATCGGCTTGAAACGGCGGTGTTTGGAATGCTGTCGAAGTAAGATCTTGGCTGTTCTGAGGATTCGTGAGAAGCGAGCGAAGTATGACCCGTCCATGAGTTTGCAGCCGGAGGAACCCTCGCCAGGCCTTTAATTGTTTCATGTCAATCCTTGAAGCAAGTCAAGTACTCAATCCTGTACATTTTGCCACCCAGAAGCCAAGCCACTGTGAAGCCGGTGAGAGGCCGTCCAGAGCCCACAGCTGCAGCCGCGTTGGTGACGCCTCCTTGCAAGAACAGCATCGGGCGCTATGACACGGATAATGCAGAGACGCAGCCGTTTGACATCATGGGGATGGATCTATCCCAGACTCCTGTGACCCCAGAGTTCAACAAGCCCCAGAGATTCCCGAGCACAACGTCCGTGGACACTAAGCGCTGGGTCTATCAGCATCCCAACGAACCGAAGCCAGAGAAGTTGTCAGAAGCACCCCCGGCACTACCTGCTGCACCCCCGGCACTACCTGCTCAAGAAGAGAAACCGTGTGCTGCACCCCCGGCACTACCTGCTCAAGAAGAGTTGCCAGCTGTTGTCGAGGAGCCGATGCATGATGCTGAGGATGATGCTGCGCAGGATGATGGGGCTGCTCCAGAGCTTGATGGTGAAGCATCTCCTCCCACGAAGGCCTGCCAGCGGTTCTGCTTAAGCATTCCAAGGTTGTTGTCGAAGCTTATCTGTCATGCCTATACAATCTACCAGGTCAGCGATCTTCAGCTTCTAGCTTTTGGCACCCAAAAGATATACATCTCTCTCTCTCTCTCGTTATGTAGCCATATGTCTACATTATACATATTTCATCCATATTCGCTATTTCATCATGCCACTCTATCTGTGCTTGACAGGTTTTCGGAAGACGAGAGCAGCTTGGACTCCGAAAGAAGATCAAGGAGAACAAGAAGAAGGCAGACCCGGCCGATGACCAGGGCAGCAAGAAGAAGCTCAAGCGCAAGTCGAGCAAGAGCAAACTTGCTCGCCTGAAGAAGATGCGCAGATCGCGCTCTTCTTTTGAGGACTTGGAAGGACCTGAGGAGCACGCGCCAGCCGAGGAAGAGGAGCAAGAGCCGCAGGCGAAATCCAAGAGCAAAGCCAAGCCGAACAGCAAATCCGCGCCGAAAGCCGCAGCCGCCAAGCCAAAAAGCAAATCCGCGCCGAAAGCCAAAGCCGCAGCGAAAAGCAAGGCGACACCGAAGGCCAAAGCCAGCCCGAAATGCAAAGCCAGTTCGAAGAAGGCTTCGTCCTCGAAGTCTCACGAGGACAATGACAATGAGGCGGAGCCCGCCGAGAAGCCCAAGTCAAAGGGGGGGCGACCCAAGGGATCCAAGAACAAGGTCAAGGAAGCAGACAACGATGCCAAGAAGCCCCGTGCTGCCAGAGTGGCACCCAGCATCCGCCTGAACCGCAAGAGCGCCGACGAGACGCCCCACGACCCGGAGGATTACGACTACATCCTTCAGTTCGTTCACGACTTCGAGGATCCCGAAGCCGAGCTTCCGGTGCTCAAGAAGCAGGTCAAGGAGTGGAAGCCCCAGTGGACTTATGTGGCCCCGGATATCTATTGGTCCCGGTGGGAGTGCGCTTTGACTTTCTACTATCAAGATGACGAGGGCACGGACTGCAAAAGCAATGTGGGCCACTTCCATTTCGCTAACAACAAGCCCGCGCAATTGGTCGCCATTGCCTGCAGCTACTTGCTAGCTGCTTGTCTGTAACGCTTATATACACTAAATGCCGCAAACAAAGCTGGTTGTGGAAGCGTTTCGCATCGCCTTGCTTGTCGGTTTGCTATATAGGGGTTGCTAAAAGGATTGTGTGGAAGGGCCAGAGCCAGCTAGTAGCTTAGAGGTTGTAGCTTTGTGTCGTCGTATCCCGCCCTGCAATCTTATCCTGAACACAGACTCGCCCACCTGCTCCGCCCAGGCTTGGTTCATCGAGCAGGAGAACATTTTGGACCCGAGGCACGAGGACATTGCACCCAAGGTGTTGTCCTTGAAGGCTGCTGGGTACAAGGCGGCAAAGGAACTCGGTGCCATGACTTAAACCAATCAGAGTGATTGCGAGCAATCCATTTCGTGATTGCCAGTTATTTTGCTGGAGCTGTCGATGCATAGCTCAGTACGGGGACTTAGAGTGCTGATTCTTCATGTCAGTGCTGCGCTCGCCCTGATGGCATTGTAGCAAGCTCCTAGCTGGCCTCACCGGGGAAGTGTTGTGGCCCGCTGCTAGCAAGTGCTGCGAGAAGGATGCCCAATAAACCCCATACAAGCCCTGAATTAAACCTAACTTATGCCCTACAATAAACCCTTAACCCTCTAAGCCCTTAATTGACCTTAACAGAATCATGTAGAGACTGAATTGTGTGCTGGGCCTGAGGCAATATGTTATCGAGGAGCCGCCGGGGTTCTTTTCAATGTGGATGTTATATACCCACGCTATATATAGGTCTTATGTTGGGGACGGGACATCCTACAGCAGGCTTGCTCAGCTACCGAAGTGAAACAGCACCCAGCTTACGAGTCCAAAGCTGAAAAAAGTGGGGGCTGCAGAGAGCCACGCATGTCTTCTGTTGTGCCCTAGATTACAGACGAATGCACTCGCTCCTTTATATATACTGCAATCCACTATCCTGCCCAGGTCCCTTCATGCCGCGACTGAAGTTCAAGGCACATGCCCGCCGCAAGCGCAGCCAGAAAGACCAGAAATGTAGTCAACCTGGCATATTGATTGCTTAATTCGCGTGTTCTTGCACTAAATCTTCCGCATGCCTTCAAGTGTCCCTTGGTTGAACGCTG